TCATCTGACTAGTGCGAAAAACATAGTCAAAAATTTTTGAGCTAAGTTTTTCCATGTAGTAATTGTACCAACAAAAAGAGAATGCATCCAACTCTTATATTTATCTCTTAAAGAAAATGAAAAAGTCTAAATCTAATTGTCTCATTAGAAACACTATTTTAGTTAAAAGTATAAAAAATTTCTAAAAAATTAAAGAGATGCACATTAGGATCATCATTTTGGTAAACCTCCAAACTGAATTGAGGTTTGGATCATCTGAATGATGGTAGGTTTAATCTCGAAGTTACTAGCATTGGCACTCGGTTGAACTATACTGGATGAAGCTCCTACAAGTGAAGGAATAGCAAAGTCCTTGAGTGCTCTCCTGTTATTCTCGTTCAAAGCATCCCTTGTTCATCAAATTTCTTTGTGTTCTGTCATCTCAACTCTTGTTTGTCTTTCTACTGCTAAACGTTCTCTTCTCTCTCGATTCAGTTGTTTACAAGTCTTTTCGATATCTGAATTTATAGGAAACAATTCTGAGTTATTCGATCAACTCATATACCAACTGAAAACAAAAAATAACGGTGTAATCTGCCCACAAAATTAAAATAAATTAAAATAAAATAAATAAAAGAAAAAAATTTGCACTCAAATTAAAAACAATAAATAAATAAAAATATGAATTAAATAAATAGAATAAAATAAAATGAAATAAAAAATAAAATTAAAATGCAAGTAAACTAAAAACGAGAAAATAAACTTTAGACTAATAATAGAACTCTTAGTATTGATATTGATACTAACAATCCCCGACAACAGCTCGAAAAAATTGATGGTGAATTCGCAAGTGCACCAAATCGTTCAAGTAATAAAATGATAAATAGAGTATCGTATCACAGGAATTGAGTATAAAGTACCAAAATCGTAGAAAATTATAATATTATCTTGAAATCGGAAGTAAATTTTTATAAAAAATTAAAACAATTTAATCAAACAAAAATAATTTAAAATGAGAAAAATTATTAACAGAAAAGCACCAGAATAATTGATTTCACCTAAATTTTAAGTATATTTGAATTTTAATTTCGCAATCGATTTAATCTAGTATGTAATGATTGAACTATCCTAATCTACTTTTAATTTCCCTCCCAATATTCTCTATCTCTATCAATTAACAACTACTAACTTTTTATAATAATTATTAAATTGATTCAATCAAATCTGTGATAATTCAATTTCTCTACATTGACGTGACTATATTACTCTCGTTCAAATCTAATTAATACTTAATGATATATGTCTAATTGATAGAATTTTACTCCTATTAATCTAAAACTATCAATTACAAATGAAGATATGAGTTGACCAATTCTCACAATCTAATTAAGTTCAATATTGTTAAATTACAAGCATAAGAAAGTTAAAAATTAGATCATAAATTTACCTTTGATTCAAGCTACATTAATTATTCTAACCAAGAAAAATTAGCCGCATATGGTGAATTGAGCAATAATTAATATATTTGAGAAACAAATAATCATGTAATATTCAACAAATAAATTCTTAACAATTCCAAATACTAGCATTCAAGTGTCATAAAAATTTCTATCCCAAAACAATGCAAGTTGAAAACTAAAAGAAAATTAAATTACTTAAATGTCTTCTTTTTTTCAGTTTCTCATTCTAACCTCTTTGCGATTGCTTCTGCTTCAGCTTGGTTGTTTCCACGATTTGGTGTTGCCAAGCTCGCTCCACAAGTTCGTCGCTTTGGGGTTCTGCTGTTAATCTGCTCCCTACCAAGCCTTCTTTTCCTTTGCTACTTTCACACTCAGTTTTCTCTGCTCGCATTTCTCGGTCTCTCTCTTCTTCTTTTATTTTCCCTGCTCGCTAG